GGTCTCTTGTCTGCCGCCGTAACACAGCTGCCCATAAAGGGTGCATGGCAAGCGGCAGTGAGGGACGTGCATGGGGGGCTACCAGCCCCTCCTTCCCTTCCCCAGTGCAGGTGGTGCAGTGACTGGAGCCAGGGTGAGGGCAGCCATGGGGTCAGGATCCTGAGCACCTGGCAGGGAGCAGGAAACACAACTAACCCATCCCACAGGGACAAACGCTGCAGCTTACCTGCATTGGGTCGCAGCTGGGAGAAGGAAGGAAAAGTGCCTGTCATGGGCCACTGAGCTGCCCACTGAGCTCTCAGATATTCCCTCAAAAGGTTTACAGTGTTTTCCAAAGCCTCCCTGAGCCCAGTGCTGTTTGAGCTGGAGACAGGACCTGTGTAGTGCCCCCATGACTTTGCCCCGTTATAAACCAGTCCTCAGCAGCCCAGGTATCTAAGGGCAGATGTGTTCTTCTAGTGAGCAGTAATGGCATGCTCTGATAGGAGATTTTGGACAGGAGATGAAAGGAGAGGTGGTCATGCAAGAGGGAAAGAAGTGGAAAGTGTGGCTAGCTGGAATGCAGCCAGACCCAGAAACCCAGGACTGTGGACCACAGCAAACTTACAGCACAGCCTCTCTACCTGCAAGGCCCAAACATAACATTGAGCAGTAGCTTGTGCCTGGACAACCAAACTCAAATTGCTGGCTATTCTCTGACAGCTTCCGTGTGGGCATTTGGCCCTCTCCCACATAAAGCCCAGGCAGGAATAACACACGCTGGGGATTGCTCCCCAAAACCAGCTTGAGTTTGACAACCCTGTTTTTTTGGGTAACAGATCTGTCCGGGTGTGTTGATTGATTCATCCATCATGCACTTTGGGACAGTGAATGGTCTGTTTTGTTCACTAGTACAGGCACAGCCAGCCTGCGGTAAGTCATGGCCAGTCATTGTGTATCCTCAGTAACATGGGGGAGCTGGAAGCACGGGTGCACTGTCCTGCACAGTCCCTGGGGAGCAGCTCTTGACACGGATGCCTGGTGCGTGTGGCTGTGGTTCTGCAGCCTGGCCAGCTGCCTCCATGGCCTTGCAACAGGCAGGGCTCCTGCTTCCCTGCCCCAGCTGGGAGGATGCCCTTGTGTCACACAGGAGCTCCCAGGGGGGTTTAGGTGGGGATCCAGGGAAGGAAGAGGAAAGCCCTCTGCAAGCTGACCCTGTTTGAAAACTGCCCTGTAAGAGTGGACAGGAGGGTGACAACCTGGTCTCTTCATACCCACCTCATCTGTTTGGGTTTTCCCCTCAGTCCTGCACACTCCTTTACTCCTTCAATCAGCTGCTCTCAGTCCTGGGCTCTCCTGCTCATCTTTTTGCATTTATCCTGGCCCACACCAAAATGGCAGCTCATGTGTTTTTTTAATTTGTTTGTGTCTTTGCTTTTTTAAATTCTGCAAGGGTAATTAATTGACATTTAAACTGCTGGGGAGTCTCACTCTAGAGATGCTCCCCACCATGGACAGCCCATATCAGACAGTAGCTCTTTTCCCAGGGATGGGCCGACTGCACCAGGAAGAGCCTTCAGCATGCTCCAAGTTCCCTTCCAAGAAACATCACCAGTTTGGACCTCTCCTTCAACTCTTTGGTCATGCCCCGTCACAGGACTCTCCTGATGCATTTCCCTTTCCTGCGCTCTCTCAACCTCTCTAGCAATGCCATGCCAGTGCTGAGCCCAGCAGTCTTTTCCAACCTTGGGGCATTGCGTCTGCTGGACCTCAGCAGCTGCAGCATCACCTACCTCCACATGGACACTTTTGAGGGCCTGGGAAACCTGAACACACTGCTCCTAAGAAACAACAGCTTGCAAGACCTTGATGCCCCTTTTCTCCTGCCACTGAAGACTCTTTTCCACCTGGACCTGCAGCACAACTCGCTGGTCTCTGTGGACACTTGGAGCCTGCAGCTGATGGAGGCAGTCCCACAGGTCCATCTGGAAGGGAATCCCTGGGTCTGTGACTGCACTGTGGAGCCTCTGCAGCGGTGGCTGCAGCGCAGGCAAGGTAGGTGGATGGAGTGGGTGGCAAGAGAGGTGCTGGGCAAGACAAACCTTGGGTATAGAAGTCCTGCTTGATCCTTTTGCTCTGGCCTCTGAGCAGGCTCTGAGATTACTCTTCAGGGACCTCTCCCACCCTGTTGAGGAACAGCAAACCAATAGGTGATGTGTCTGTTCCTTGCTTGCAGTTACACATGATACCAAAGATTTCCAAGAGTGACATCAGGATAATTTAGCCACTCTTCTTGGAAGGGGGCTGCACATGCACTTCAGCCCCTAAATCCACATTTATGTATCTTTGTGAAGTGACCACATTTTCAAGAGCTGCTGAGGGCTGGGCAACTCCTCGTGTGGAGCCAGATCAGGCTCCAACCATCTAAGCTTGGCTCCCAGGGCAGAGCAGTGGGGTTTCTATCAGTATCCATGAATTTGGCATTATCCAGTTAAAAGGAGCCTGCTAATCACTTGCACAGTTACTTGGTCAGGGAATTTTTCCTTTGCTTGTGCCTTATAATATGCTGAGGGCCAGTGAGGCTGGAGTGCAGAGCCAGGAGTACCTTGTGATGTGTCCCATCAATCCAGGAGCAAGCAGGGATCGTATTCTCTAAACTGGGGAGGGGATGGGTGAAGACCCCCATCCCACCTTAGCCCATTTGTCTCCCAGCTCTGCAGGTGACCTGCATGTCACCCCCGGGGCTATGGGGCCAAGAGATCGCAGCTCTGGATTCCCAGGACCTGGGCTGCCAGATGAAGCACCGTTTTCCTCGTGGGCTGAGCACAGCACAGCAGATCACAGTGACCCAGAATGACAGTAAGTTGTGCAGATTGAGAGGCATCCATAAGTTCTACCTCCCTCCTTCCCCCTGCCTACCAAAGGGGACCACAGGTAGAGATCCCCTGTTCTGCTTCACAGTCTCAGGGGCTCAGGCTGCCTGGCCACTGCCGGTGCAGTGGCTTTGGGGGGGGGGGGACAGTGGCCACCACCTGGAGGTGCCTTTGCAACAGAAAAGTTAGCAGATGCCACAAAGCTACATGGAGCTCCATGGTGATGGGCACCAGCTGTCAGGCAGTTTTCCCCTCAGTGTTCACACACCCTTGGTAGCTGGCTCTGGTGAAAAGCCAGCAAACACTGCTCCTAACGAAAGCAATCCAGTGCTGGCTGCACACTGCAGGCAGGCACAGGGCTGGCTGATGGGGAGCGCTGGGTATGCCACAGGCTGATCATGTGCCATTCCTGTCACAGCCACCACACCGCCTGCCGGGAAGGCAGGAAGGAGCTGGCAGTACCTGGTGGGCTTCGTGGTGGCAGCAATCGTCCTCTCCGTCCTGATTGCGCTGGTTGCCAAGTGCAAGCTCGCACACAAGAATTTCGCCAGCTACCGCCACCGGCCGCTGCCTGAAGTCAGCTCCATCGGAGGCAGCCCCATGGAGGAGACCAGCAGCTGGGGCAGGGGCTCCTGGGGGAGTAACTCCATGCCTGGTTCTGCCGACCTGCAAGCTGAGGATGATGATGGCTTCATCGAGGACAACTATATCCAGCCCAGTGAGCAGCTGCCGGAGAAGGAGGGGCGGCAGTTTCATACCTCCATCTGAGCTTACAACTCAGACACCACTGCTGCAGCCTCTTGCCATCTCCCTGGCTCTGTCCCCTTCCCACCCTTTCCGACCTGCTGTGGCTTTTGGCCCCATGTGTTTGAGGGCAGGAGGAAATGAGCAGAGAGGGTGGAGAGAGGGATGGGCTGTGAATGATGATGGAAACTGAAGACAGCCAGCCTTACAGTGCTCCAGGCTGCACTGTCACAGGGACACCAGGTCTACTGCTGCTTTTCCAGCCCTGCTCAGGTGCTGAAGATGAAGGAGATGGTGACTATTATGCCTGGGTAGCCTGGTGGGATGGGAAGAGTATCCTACTGTGGTTCTCCCTGTGGGGTCTAGGGCACTGGCCCCACTGTCCCGTGGCACCAGACCCAGCCCTGTTCTGTCCCTCAATGTGTTGTCACTCTGGGGTGTGATTAAAGCATGATTTACCCCTGCCTCTGCTTGTGATGGTTTGTTGGGAGTCTCCCAGTGGCAGTGCCTGGAGGAGACCCCCAGCCCCACAGCTGGGCTGTGGCTCTTTTTTGCATATGCTTTCAAGGATCATAAATACATTCCTCATTAACTGCTAAGGCGAGAGAACAGGTCTGTGGCACAACGAGTGCTCTTGTGCAAACAAATCTGTCACCTGCCATGGAGCAGGCAGCTCTGGTGCATCACTGCAGGGTTTCTGTGCACATCTCTCAGTGTTGCTTCCCCGTGCTGGACTCAATGACCTCAGAGGTCTTTTCCAATCAAAATGATTCTGTGAATCTGTGATTCCCATCATAGCCCTACTTTCTTTTCTTTCTTCCCTCTCCAGCAAGACATGCTAAAAGACACTTACCTTTCCCATGTCAGCTCTGTAGAGCTGAGCAAACTTGTCAGTGGTGCCAGTTGCAGCATCAGGCAGGCACATGCGCTGGGGCGAGACGACCCTCTCTCTCAGCACCCATTGCAGAGTCCCATGTGTGTCTCTAACTGTGGAGTTATATGAACATTATAATTTTTGCATTCCTATCATCTTTGTGGTACGATAAACAGCACATGAGACACAGGTACCTGCAAGTTGTTTCTGCGGTAGTCGGTCAGGCCTGCATGGGTTACACTGGAGTTAAAAGCAGCAGCATTCACCCTCCTTAGTAAGTGATTCATAAGGATGATACCATCCGGTCGAGAAGATTTCCCAGGGCACAGCCCAGTCGACTCAGGAATCTCTCTGTTATGCATGAAGTATCAACACAGGGACAGCAGTTCTTGCATCCCTGCTGCACAGCTAATCCCCCCACCTCCTTCAAACCACTATTTCACTGCAAACTGCCTTTCTATTTCTCCACTCATTAAGACCTTTGTAGAGCACAGTATATAGTAAATAATACACCTCAGAGATTGTAAACCAAAGGGGACAAATGGGTCAGGCATTGGATGGGCAGTACAGGCCAGAGATTAAGTGTGCCATTTGAAGCCATGAGGAGGAAAACCTGCTGGCTTATTTCAGTGGTCAGCCAGTTTTTGTTCTTAAATGCCATATTTCTAAACTGAGCTTTACTTTTTCAGTCATTGTCTCATGGTTTGCTTTCTGGCCTCATCAGCTACCTGTGAAAATAAACTATATGCTGTAAATTTTGGATATTTCTAGTATCATTCAGGTAATATAGGAGACTTAAATCTGAGGGCTGGGAAAACGCATTTCAGGTATCTTTTGGAGGGTATTTTCTGGGCTTTTCACCATGCTTTTCAATCACATGAACTCAAGCCAGATGCAGTATTTTCTTTTTAGTCTCCTTGATGTCTTAAAAGAGATTAAAAATACAAGTGCCCAGGCTTATTTATCCAGGATCTGACTCTTGTCCCTCAGTACCTTGTGGTAGGTTGCTTGTCTACTTTGACCCTGCTGGTAGGCCCACACATTTATTCTTTAACCAAGCAGGCATGGCTGGTTTCCTTTCGTGTGTGGTTTTTTTCTGCCCCCTCTCCAGGCAGTTCCAGTGCAAGTGAGCAGAAGCCTGGCAACTCATGTGGGGGGACATACATCTGCATGCAGATCTGGAGTCAGAGCAGAAAAGGAGGATCCGTCTCAAAGGGGTCCACCCAGGAAGCTGCCGGAAGGACTATGGTGTAGGTGGCGGAACCAGTAGCAGGTATGCAGGCAGACTGGTTCCAGGCTCCCTGCAGGAAGAAGCTGCCGCCCTGAGGCTCAGCCCTGCCACAGGGTGAAACAGCTTCTCTGTAAACAAACCAGCTGGCACTGACATATTCAGGAGGCTTTTTGTGCTCCATATGAGCATTTGTCAGAGGCACAGCAAGGTCTCAGGTTCACGGAGTGGTGGTAAGGGGATCTGGCTATGTCTGGGTCCTTAAGCAGATGAACATGGATCTGAAGGTGGGAGCTGTGTATCAGGAAATAAGTACATGTATTTTTGGAGCTCTGGTGGCATTGCCATGCTATCTGGTGATCCAAAACCACAGCCAGAGGAGGAACACTGGGCTGTCATGATTTCTATCCTGGGCTGTCATGATTTCTGCCCTGGGCTCAGCCCGAGCAGAGGCTGGTTCTGCAAAGCCCTGCCACATCCTAATCAGCAGAGAGGCTGGCACTCAAGGATCAGCCTTCAACACAGTCAGCTTCTCTAACACTTTATTATGTATTTCCATGCACACCACAGGAACCAAGAAAGAAACAAACCAGTACCCATGCTGCAGAGGTGAGTCAGTGGCTGGACAGTGCAGGCTGTCCCTCTGGGCAGCTAAGCACCCAAACCACCATCTTCAGGCACAGCCTGTTCTCAACCGTGATTTCCTTGGGTTGCTGATGTGGCCCATGATCACCCTTTTCTGGCATAATTCACAGGCACTTAGGGCACATTTTGAAGGGGCTGTGGAGGGGAGGAGGATTCACATTGACATGCAGGCAGCATGGAGCTGCGAGCTGGGCACAGTCATGCATCTTCACAGAAATGCCCAGATGTGCAAAACAGCTGGTGTGCAGGCAGCTGTGGCCTGTCCACACGTGCAGGTTGGGCGAGCTGTAACTGCTAGAGCACTGATGCAGGCAGAGGCAGAGCAGCTTGGCATAACAGCACGTGCACCAACACAGATGTGCAGAGCAGCAGCAATGGTGACAGTGCAAAACTCCAGTTCTGGCCTGTCCCTCCCTGTGCATGCACAAAGGGCCCTGGTGGACCTGAGGCCAAACAGCCCAGAGGGGAAGGACAGTTCTTTGCTTTGAAGAGATTTAGCACAGGAGGATCTGAGTTCAGTAACACCCTTTGAGCTCTTGGGCAGATTAAGGGAAAAGATGCAGAGAGAGGAGGAAACAGCAGTTTAATAAGATCTACAGATGATGTGAAAATGGCAGAGGAAAATGTAGAAATAACAGAGATCCAGAAAGAAAATCCCGAACTATGTACCCATACTTTGGGGAAAACAATCCAGGGGAAGGAAAGCCAGTAGGAGCAGGGCAAGAGTAGATGGATACAGACATGCCCTCATGTGATCTCACTGCATCAGGGATGGTGTGGTCTGGAGACACGAAGGATTAAAGCCCTCATTGCCCAGCATATACCTGGTGGGGCTCACTGATTATGAATTCTGACATTGCCTTCAGGTGTAACACAGACAGTGATTTGTGCTGTTAGCAAGGGAATGATCTAACATCCACTTGCAAATGAATTTGCTACCAGACACCAGAAAATAATGGCTCAGCCTTGTTCCATTGCAGAGGAAACTTGTCAAATAATGAGCAAAACCAGCATCTGGAGCAGTGCAGCTCAGGTTAGGAGGAGATGGGAGCAGACAGGAAGATGAAGAGAAGGCTGTGCAGGAGCAGCTTTGCTAGGAGGTTAAAATCTACATGTATGGGAAGGACAGTGAAAGGGTTAGTGGGTCTATGAAGGAAATGAGAATTTTGACAGATAAATTGACCTCAAGTCACATGAAAAGCTCCTGGGGTGAATTGTTAGTTTGCATCTGGGAAAGACACCTCAGTGATAGACACCTTGTAGAGATAAAACACTGAAAAAGCTCCAGGTAAGACTCAAGTGGCAGAAGAAGAACTTTTCTGCCCTGCAGCAGCTGTAGCATTTAGGAGACAGAAACAGTATGGGAACAGGCAGGGACTGGGATGAGCTGCAGGGCTTCTGGCAGCAGAGGTGCCTCTGCTTAGGAAACTCCTGTGGGAGGGCATAGCATTCCCTCCTTGCACCTCTCTTGCAGAGAGCAGCTCCAGCCCTGGGATCTGGGCATTCTATCACCATTCCCCAGCAACTACACCTTGCTGCTTGTGGCTCTTGTGGCTGGAGCCCTAACACACAGTCCAGCATGGATAACCCGTTCGGGCCCTGACACCAACACCCTTTGATCAACTCTTCAATAAACCACAGGTGATGGTGGGCTGCAGAAATGTAACATTGGAACAGATCCTGGCATTGCAAACACAAACAGCCTTTTACATGAGGTCCAGCCATGCTATGGCTCTGGCACACAGAATCCCATGTAAATCCCACACTCACTCCTACAGACACACAGGTGCTTTCTTGGAAGCAGCCCCCACAGCCACACCTCCCACCAGACTCCCTTTGCCTGCACCACATGCCTGCTGACATGCAGAATATTTCCTGCCATTCACCAGCTGCTAGAGGCTCTACTTTGCTCAGGAGCTGGTGGCTCACAGAGCACAGAGTGGATTTATACCACTCACAAACACAGCCTCTCTTGCCAGGAGAGAGTATGACACAGCTCCAGGAGCTGCAGGAACCAAGCAAGCACTGGTGTCCCCAGGGGTACAGGACAGGCTCACCTTAACTCTGTGACAGGGGTCGCAGCTGGGCAGGCAGCAGCTGTCACTGGAGGCTTTGCAGAGATAAGATGCCAACCAGGTCAGTGCTGCGCTCCTAATGCACCAGGTCACAGAGCCCATCCAGGCACCCTGAGTCTGCTGTGCCATCAGCCTGGGGCTAAGCAATTGCCAGTCATCTCCGACAGAAGCACAAGGCACACCGCAATGCTCACCCTTCCTT